GGGTAAAAGCCTTAAAGTTTATTATACTAACTTAGTATTTCCAGTTAATTATTTATCTAGTATAATCAGTAATATATTTTATTAGATCTATAATCTAATAAAAGGGCTTATAAAGCTTAATATATTCTAAAACTAGTGTTAGTAATACACCTTAGACTTAGTATTTAAGGCAGACTAGATCTAGATTTCTCTTATAACTATAGAGTAGGTTAAGCTATAGTTTTTAATAGAGAGTATACTAAACTTAACGCCCTAGATAAAGTAGTAGCTTTTACCTCTACTTAAGCTTTTATTAAAGTAAAAGGTATTATAAGCTACTTTAATTACTAAGTTATATAACAGGTATATTTTAATAGTATAACTAGAAGAATCTAGATAGGTATAAAACAGGTTAAACTTAGTAAATACCTAGTTAAAAACAAAGTTCTTTCTATCTCAAGGCAGACTTATAAGAGCTAATAAGACAGCCTATTTATAGACAAGCTTCTCTATACCCCTAAAAGAGCTATAATTACTATATTAAGACCTAAGGTTATACATATATAATATAATAGGTTAATAATAACCTTTTAACTCTATTCTAAAGTAAAGTTATTATTAATATTATAAAGTAATAAGCAACTATCTTTAGTCTTAGATCTAAAAGGTATCCCCTTATAAAACATACTAAATTATAAGTTATTATCTCTTAGGTCAAGAGATATTATTAGATAAAGAGTAAAAAAAGGTTATAGTAAGACAAAGAGATTCCTAGCTTATAAAACACCTCCTTATTATAAAGTATATAAAAGGCAATAATATAATATAAGATCTAAGAGAGGGGAGTTTTTTAAATAAAGCTAAGGGAGAGGAAAGAAAAAAAGGGTAGTATAAAGAGAAATAAGATATACTACTTTTTATAAAGGATAAAGTAATAAAGGTAATATAGTAATAGATGTTATAACGTAAATTCTTTTACTAATATTACTTACTACTATATTATAGGAGAATATAGTATAATCTATATAAAAAGTAATTACTATATATATTACTAATATAAACAAATAAACTAGTAAAGAATATAGATTAGCTATAGTTATAAAAAGTAAACATAATAAACTATAGTATATAATAGTTTATCAATCTTAATTCTTATTCTTATTAATACAGCTCACAGCCCTATAATATAATAATAGTACATCATAAGATTTCCTTAGGGTAGTCATAGGTTTAATTCCCACTATAGCCTTTATATTATCCTTTCTCTATATTTAACCAAATAAGAAGGAAAAGACAGTACTTTTATTTTATTTTTTTTTATTTTTTTAAAAAAAAAAAAAATAAAAAAAACAATGTTTTTAGTTATTATATCTTAAGAAATTATAGTATAATTTATATTAAATATAAATATTATACTACTAATATAAACTAGACTATAAGCTAGTAAATAATATAGATCTACTATAGTAATAAAAAGCAAACCATAATAATCTATAGTATAAGATAACTTATTAGTTTTAATTGCCTTATTTTTTATTAATACAGCTTATAGCCTTATAATATAGTAATAACACGCTATAAGGTCTCCTCAGAGTAGTTATAAGAAGAGAAGATATTTTTTATTTTTTAGCAATATCTTTTCTAAGTGTATCGTTTTATAATATAGTATAGTTTATAAAAAGAATCACAAGTATAATACTAAGGTAAAATATAAGTTATTTTAATAATATATACTATATATTACTACTATCCTATTATATATTCTTCTTACTAGTCTAAGCTTTTCTATTTAGGTTCTCCACGTAGATCTATAAGTTATACTAACATATAAAAGACCAAAAAATCTATAACGTTCCACTAGGTAATAAAGCCTTAAAACCATAGATCTCCTTTAATACATCCTAATACTCAAGGTTTATAAACTCCTTCCCAATAAATAACATCAGCCTATCAACTATAAGTACAGCCTTACCCTAAAGGATATCCTAAGTAGTATAAACCGTAAAAGCTACAAAGATAAGCAAAGACTCAATACATTCTCCCTAGTTACTACTAGCCTTAGTAAAAGTAAAGACATTACTATCCCTAAGCTTCTTAATCTTAAAGCTACCGTCCTAATAGCTAAAAAGGTTTGCCACAGTAAGGACTATACTTAGAACAACGCTATTAATCACCTAGTTCTAGCCCATCTAGTTAAACTAGAAGACCTTAATATTACTATTCTTTAGATAAGAGATAATAATAAGCTACTAGTATTAGTCAGGGGTAAAGAGGAATAAGAGGATATTATCTAGGCTTAGGTTTTACTTAAACTCAGTCTAAATAAAGACCTAGTTAAGTCTAAGCTTAGCCTTAAAGCACTAGAAAGACTAGTTATTTAGGTATTATATGTCTAGCTAGCTAAGTACTAAGTCTATATACTAGGGGTAAAGCTTATACTTCTATAAAATAATATCCCTAGTCTTAAACTAAATAATAGGCAGGGCTTCTTATTCTATAACTATCTTACTAGTTTAGATATTAATAAGACGAATTAAGGCAGGAGATATATTATATAGAATATTACTTTTCTTAAATACTTTTAGTAGAGAATATAGTTAACTATAAAATCTTAGCTATAAAAGTATAGTTATAATACTCTTAATAGGAAAGGATATATAGTATAAATAGTAAAAGGGAGGCAGTAGTTAAATAGTAGTCTATAAAAAAAATAAAAAGAGAGTAAAAAAAGAATAATAAAAGATTAAAAAAATAATAAGCTTTATAAAGGCTTTATTTAAAAAGAAAAAATACTTTTAAGAGAAGGATAGATAATTAATATATTTAAGACAAGAAAGAATCTAGTTCTTTCCCATTATATAATAAGATAAAAAACAATAAATATATTTTATTATAATCTCTTTTTTATCTGTTGTAATTTTATAAGTATTACCCTTTTTTAATACTTTAAGAGAAGAAAAAATATACTTCTTTCTAGTTATATAATAAGATAAAAAACAATAAATATATTCTATTATAGTCTCTTTTTTATATAGCTTTCTCAACTTAATTCTTATTAATAATAAATTACAGCTATATAATATAGTAATAATATCCCTAGGGTAACTATAAAAGGTTATAGGTTTAATTCCTACCATAGCTATTATCAGTAAAAATAATCAGGGAGAGACCCTAATTACTTTCACTAGTTTTTTTAAGGTTTTTCTTTTTAATTAAAAGATAAGGGATCCTAGGGTTAAGGCTTATATATTATAGTTAAAGCATTAGCTACCTCCCCGTAACTACTAACAAGGCAGTGCCTAAAACACAGCAGTTAATAGTGGTAAAACCTCTAGTAAATGCCCCAGGCTTTTATACAGATGCTTAACTAATCTAATAAGAGCTTAAGAAGCTTTTAACTATCTAGATACTCTAAAGCTTTAATAGCTTTAAATAAGTTATAAAGAACAACCTAGTATATAAGACTATATAGTCTCTATCTAGATAGATTAATTACCTCCTACTCTTTAATAATTACTCTACTTAATTTATAAGCTTAGCACTTACACTATTAGATCTTACCTTATATTAGTTAATACTTTACTTATCTCTACTCTCCCTACCTTAAAAAAGAACTAATATATTAAGAATACTAACCTTAAGATCTTAAAGGGGAGTAAGATAAAACTATAAATAAACCTACTAAATAAAATCTTATATAGCTCTCCTATTAGTCTAGCCTAATTAATTATATTAAAAAAGCTATAAGCCTTTAACTAAATATACTAAATCAGCTAGGCTAAGTAAGTACATATTATTAAGATTATTATAAAAGATATATTAGACAAGCACATTTTAAAAGTCTAGAGAAAAAAATAAAAAAATATATTAAAGAGAAGTAAGGGTATAACCTTAAAGAAACTAAACAAGTATATACTATCTAGATTATTTTAAAGGATATATTAGACAAATATATTTTAAAAAGAAGTAAGAAATATATTAAAGAGGAATAAAGGTAAAGCCTTAGAGGAATCTATTAAATAAGACCTTATATAACTCTTCTATTAGTCTAGCCTAATTAATTAAATTTAATTTAGCCTATATTTTAAAGATAACTAAGGCAAGTATACTAAAGAAAGATATAGGCTTAAAAAGAAAAGATAATAGCTTAGAGACTAATAAGTTAAAGTGTTAAGGACAAAGTATTTCAAGCGATATAATTAAGTAAGTTATTTATATCCTATATCTATAAGACCTTAGGGGGTAAGAGCTTTAAATAGATTAAATAAAACAGTAGCTATTCTTATCTATATATTAGTTTTATATATAAGTATTATACTAGCAGGTATTTATCTATAAGGCGGGTCAAATACTAAAATAGTACCGCTTAGCCTCCCTTATCAACTAAATAGTAGATATTAGCATTATACCTTACTATCTAGCTAAGATAGTAGTAATAATAGTTATATAGCAAGTCAAAAAGGCTCTTATATACTACTACTAGGCTTATATAACCCCTTAAATCCTATATCCTTATTATAGATTATTATATTAAAGATATAGCACTAAGGAGAGTAAAAGCTATAAAACAACTAATTAAAAGCATTATACTCTCTTGCCTAATAGCTAAGCTTCTTTTTATACTAGACGGGATATAACAAGTATATAAGTTTATAAAGATATTATAGCTAAACTACTTTTAAAATATATAAAGTAATTTCTACTGTCTTAGATTAATATTATCTCTTTATCCTAATACTTTATATCCCTTTAAATTAAGACTAATAATATTATTACCTTAGGCTTAGATCTTACTAGCTTTACCCTTCTCCTTATTACTTATCCTATTACTTACTTAACTTACCTCTTACCTTATCCCCTATCTAGTCACCTATCTTATTACTTTCCTTTATCTCTTATCACTTCTCTTATCTTATTACCTATCTTATCTCTTATTATATCACTTATCTTATTATATTAAAAAGCCTAGGTTCTACCTTTATCCCCCTTTATATTACCTACCCAAGGAAAAATTAGCTCTAGCCCCTATAACTTAAGGGTTAAAGCTATAGATTACTAATCTATAAATCTAGGTTTAAATCTTAGTAGGGGTGATTTTTCCCCCCCTTTAAAACAAATATATATATAAGGGGTATGAGATAGATAGAGTAATACTTATTCCTGCTTTTATTTTTATTTGCCTTTTCCCTTATATAAATAATAATAAGAAGTAAGTAATTAACACGCTTTATAAAATGTCTTACTTAATTTCTATAATATATTATATAAATCACTCCTCTACCTCTTTTATTATCTATCTTTAAACCTTAAGCATAGTATAAAGCACAGGTAGAGACCCTTACTTTATAAGCGGTACAACTTTCTTATTCCTACTAGGTAAGACTACCTAGCTAGTAATAAGTAGTTATAGCTAGTAATTAATAGGGAATAGCTTTTTCTTACTAGCTATTAATAAAAGCTTAATAATAGATAAACCTATTATAAGCTAGGCGTTAAATAGTCTTATCTTAAATAGCTTATATAATATATCTTATTAATAAATAATTAGATCGCTATTATTACTAATAGTATAAAAATAGTCTAAAAATATATCTAAGAGGTTTTTAAGGTTAACAGGTTATAAGTATATATTACACTAGTTAAAAAGTAAGATATAAGTAGTTAAACACTAGATTATCTAATATATTAATCCCTAACTCTCTTATTTTTTTATTAATACAAGCAGCTCTTAGTCCTTAAGATAAAAGAGGATCTAATATATAGTAAGTATAAGCCTATAAAGCGTTAAAAACTATATATTAGCCCATATAAAGCCTAAAGCCTAGGCAATTATCACATATATATACTAAGTAATAGTATAAAAGGAAATATAGCTCTAGCCTAGGTATTTATAGCTATTATACTATATAAAAAAGACATTTATAACTACTCCTAGGTTATACTACTTTATCTAATTCCCTATAGCAAAGTATAACCTAGTAACTAAGCCTCTTTTATAACTAGTGTTATAAAAAAGGTAGTATATTATATCTTAGTAAAAAATAAGTAGCTAGTCCTAAGAAAAGTTATACAGTATATTTTAGTAAAGCTTAAGGTTCTTTTAGTGCTTATTATATATATAGGCCTAGATATTAAGATTAAACTAGTAGAGGTAAAAGCTAGACAGAAGCTTAAACTACTCTTCCTTAAGCTAATAATACTAGCCTATAGGATAACCTAGTAAGGCAATATCATACTCTTAAAAAAGCTATTATATTAAGAGGAGTATAATATATACGTTTTAAGCCTATTAGATCTACTGCCACTAGTATATATATTCTTAGTATAAAAGTATATTCCCCATTAAAAAGTAATGCCTAGCCTCGGGGTAAAACTCTTATATTACCTAGTAAAACAAGCTAGGCTACTACTAGTTAAAGCTATATATATATATAACCTACTAAAAGCCTAGGCCCTACTACTTTTATATAGCTAGCTCCTTACTATTTCTATCAGTATTAGTCCTGCCTATATAGGCTAAGATATCCTCCTACTAGTCCCTAAAAAGTAGTAAATTAAATTAGATTAAGTTATTACTATAAGAATAATAAAATAAGTAGAGGGCTATTATTATCCCTATTATTTTATTAAGTATATATATTAGGCTAATATAGTTAAGTATATACTTAAAGAGTAGGTAAGAGTAGTTAATCTAAGTATATAAAAAAAAGACTATCTCTTAATATATATTAAATATAAATTAAGATAATAAGGCTATAAAGAAAGGTTTATTATCTGCTTTGTTTAGCGTGTCTACCCTGCTCTTTTACGACATATAAAGCTAAGAGAAGAGGGCTAGGGTAATATAATACTCTTCTTATACTTTATAAAAGCTATTAGCTGCCTTATATGTTATAAGTATAATATAGTCCTAGCTTTATATATAAGTATGTTATAACTATTTATTATTAAAGCCCCTAGCCCTATTACCCTCTATAAGCTAGTAGTAATAGTATAGGTTAAGCATAAAGCTTTTATAAACAACTATCTAAAAGGTATATACTAAATAAGTATTAAACAACAACTTAATAAAGTTATAAAACTATAAGTAGACCAGGCTAGCTATATACTTAAAGCCACTAAAGTTAGTCTTAATAATTATTACCCTAGCTTCCCCTATTATAGTAAAGAGGTAAAAGACAAGACTAAGTTATATATAGCTATACTAGCTGCCTATTAAAGGTATTAAAGTATATTAAAAAGCTATAGTATTAATAGTCTAAAGATTAATACTACTATATTATAGCTACTACTTAAGCTACTTTAAAGCCTTATATAATAGCTATTCCTCAGCTATATAAGTGTTTTTATTATTATTATTATAGTTATCACTATATACAAGGGTTTTACCATTATTTTTATCCCTATCTTTATCAGTATAAGCTATTACAAGCCTATACAGCCACTAAAAACACTCTTTATAGGTAGATAAGAGGTAGTAGTTCTACTAGAGATACGTCTTAGCTATAAGTTCTTCTAAGTATACTAAACTAGGCAGGGCAGTTGCCTAAAAGATAACCTAACAGCTAAGGTTAAAAAAGACATAGTCTATATCTAGCTAATACTTATTAAAATATATCTACTAGCTTTATAAAAAACAGTTAAATATAATAGTAAAAATAACACCAGCTATCTCCCTAACCTTAAGAAAGTAAAGCTTACTGCCTTTCTAATTAATAAACAATAAGAAATCCCTAAATAATATATTAAACTTAGGATATATACCTATATACTTATATAACTCCTAGTTAAGGCATATAAGATATTAAAGTAGGATCTTATAGCCTAAAATTTACCTATAGCCCTTAGAAGTTAGATCCTATAACAGGTCTAGGTTTTCTAGTGCTTCTCTCTCCTCTTCTTTTATTAGCTTTTAAAAGCTAAAACCCTTAGTATAGGCAAGAATATTAGCCCTAGTATAAACTATTAACTTAAAGATATAGATAAAATAGTTACTATTCTCCTTATATACTATATAAAAAGCTAATAAGAAGAGTATATTAAACCAGGCAGAATATTAGTTATTTAAAAATAATAAATAGGTAAGTTTAAACTATATCTACTAGCCTATAGTTAGATAATAGTAGAGGCAAGAGAAAAAGGTATATATAAGTACTTACAGCTTCTACTTAATAACCTAGTTAAGGGTAAAATATAAAATATAATAGAGTAATACTAGCTTTTATAAAGCCTTAAACAGTATCTCTAATAGTAGTAGCACTAGGAGGCTAAGGTAGATATTTACAGTAAGGTTTATAAAGTAATAAATATTAGGGAACTAATAAAGACCCTAATATATAAAGATAAATAAGTTAAAGAAGAAATAATTACTATTAATATCTTATAAAGCTATAAAGAGATATATATAGCTTATATCCTAGCTATAATAAATAGTAAAGTAAAAGTATAAAAATACACTACTATTAACACTTTCCTTAAAGGCTTATTAATAGTAAAGCACTTTTAAATATATTAAAAGGCTAATATAGCTAGACTTAAATATAATTAAAAATAGTAAGCTATTTAAGATACTAACTAGGTTGCCCTTGTCTGCCCTATTTATATTATCCTAATAAGTATTAAATCTAGACAAAAGTAAATAGCCTTATAAAACTATAATAATATTCTCTAGGCTATAATATTATTAACTAATTATTATTAGCTCTGCCCTAAGCTTTAATAATATTACTATAATAAAAGGTATTATATAAAGTATAACTATTTAATAGATAATATTATAAGCCGCCTAGGCTGCCTTATATATACCTAAAGGGCAACCTAACAGGTAAAAGAAAGACTAGATAAAACAATAAGTAATATAGTTTATAAGAGTAATACTAAGCACTATGTTGTCAGCTAGGCCTTACTCCCTTATACTAACTTACACCTCTTATACTATAGATATATCTATATTAAAGGCTATAATAACCCCTTTCTTACTCTTTTTATCACTTATATCTTTAATAATATCTTCCTCCTCCTTAGCTAGTATTAGTATTTTACTAAGGGTTATATATAACACTACCTCTTCTATATTATAAATATCCTCCTCTTCCTTATTGCTTAGATTATTATCCTTACTGTTTAAACTCTCTCTACCACTATTAAAACTTATAATTTTATTAGTGTTAAATATATTATATTAAGATTTAATAAGTACTATACTAATAAGAGGGGAGAAGGGTATATTAAACAGATTTAAGAGCTAGAAGAATAGATTAAGTAACTCTTTTACCTAAACTAATAGCTAAAGTATAACAGGTAATAACATAGGTAGTTTATATAGAAATATTACTATCTTAGTAAGGGGGAGAGTAAGGCTTATAATAGGGTCTACTACCTTATAACTAGTATTAAGGGGTATTAACTAGTAGTAATAGATAGGCTATATCTAAAGGGGAGGAGGGTTATAGGCTTAAAAGTCCCTTTAGGCATACTAGTATTACTCTTAAGGGCTATTAGTCCCTAGATATATATATAGTTAGCCCTAGCCCTACTTAAAATCTAGACCTATAGGTGCCTAGGTGTTAGGCATAAGGTAGACAAGAGAGATATAAATATATTAAGTTCTTCCTAAGGCGATCTAATATATAAAGATAAATATTAATCGCTTTAAAGCAGAGTAGTTTAAACCCTGCCTAATAATAATAGGAACTATATAATAAGACTTAAGTAAAGTACTATATTATAACACTAAAAGAATAGAGAGGATTAAGAAAAAGTAAGTATAAAAATACTTAGTTATAGACGTAAGGCATCTTAGATTAAGGAGAGATAATATATTAATACTAATACCTTTTAAAACTTTAATTAAAAAAGAGTAGTCTAATAAAATATATAGTTACTAGTATAATTTAATTCTATTTCCTAAGATAAGGTATATAAAAATAAAGAGATAAAAAGAAAGAGATATCTCTTTCTCGCTAGTCTTCTCTCTCTTTAAATAGAAGAAACTAGATTAGATAAAACTAGCTAGTAAATATATACTACTACTTCTTATTATATATGTTGCTTTTAGCTTAATAAAAGCCCCTAAGGGGGTCCTAGGCTAAAA